CAGACCAAGATACTGTATTAACAAACACAATATGAAAGAATTAGCCTAGTTTTGGCATTTTATAAAGTCCGATTTATCACGCATGTTTGAAAGCCAAATTTACATATGTTTTGACTAAGATTCAGAGCATGCGCAGACGTTTTTCACTCGTGTCACCCTATCATTGATAGCAAAGACTGAGAAGCTGAGCATGCGCCCTGGTGACCTGGTCGCAAGATACTTGCTTCCGGTCCGTTAGGGTTTACCAGAGCCTACGGCTGTTAAATGAGTAGAAAAAAATATCGAAGCTCAATTATTTTCTCTCTTTTTGATCATAGGTTATTTAATTAATTGATTGTAAGACTGTATGGTTGTTAATTTATTTAGTATTYATTGATTTATTCGAATAAAAAATAATTATAAGAAAAAGAATAGGTTCTGGGAATGAAAATGAGTTATATCATTTTATGACTGATAAATATTCCGGGATTGTGTTTACAGATATGTTTACAAACGTGCAAAGTTTCTTGGCAACAGAATCTCGTCCTTGGCTATTGCTCAGTTTTTCCTCGCTGTTTGGCATGGAGTGCAACCTGGGTACTTCTTTTTGTTTTTCTGCCAGTTCATGATCATTGTCTTTGAGAGATCGGTAAGGATACTTGAAGTAGTGCATGTTATACACCTAAATCAAAATGGCACACGGGCGGTTGAAAACGAGGCATCCAGGGCCAAATTTACAAATTTATAGTATTTTCTTATGATTTGATGCTGCAAAATTGTCGCATTCCTGAGGGTAAGAAGAAAAGAAAGACAGAACAAGTGCATACTTTGCATTGACACCCTATTATTTCTTTGCATTTGGCCCTGGATGCCTCGTTTTCATGTAACACACTCAGCCGTGCGCCATTTTGGACTTAGGTGTAAATGAAGGGTTTGATTGTATGAATCAGACTTCTTTTGAATTCGTAAAACACCGCTGTGCTCATTGATTAGAGACTCATTTACTCGGTGTTAGTCTCATTTCCGCACTACAAAACTGAAAACCCAACCCCCAGATCCCTGGTATACATTCGGCATGTAGGGTTAAATTTAGCACTTTCTGTCTCAGGGGAAGATTTGCTGTTAAAATTATTAAAGTTGTTCCTGTTTGAAGCTGTTAGATGCGCGTTAAATCCTCGGTCTCACCGCTTTAATTAGAGTAGGGAGGATTCTTCATAAAATTTCATAAATCATCGGTAATTTTTCTCTTGTTTTCAGGTCCTAACAATGTGGGAGCTATTACAATGGAAGAAGGTTTCAGAGATGCCCGTTTATGTCCAGATCATAGTTAAATCGATGCTGTACTTATGGTCTCATATGTTGATGGGTTACGGGTCAGCTCCTTTAGCTCTATTGTATCTGGACAAAATACATAAGGTATGGATAAAAAAAATTGACCTTGCATTTCCCCTTGCGCAGCCAACTATCCAATTCGGAAGAGTTAAGTGTTAAAATGTACGCTGGAAAACTTACGAAATGTTTAAAATTATTTATTTATTTTTCCTTGAAAATGGAGTGTTCTGGCTGCTAGAATGCGGACATATTACTACTAACTGGCTGTAGGGGACTTAGAGAACACAAGATAATATTTTCTTTTAGTCTTCTCGGACAAGGACTTAAAACCGTAGGCCCTGTCTCCCAACCCTTCCTAACCTACAGTAAAATGGGGGACATAAAAGAACCTGTTGAATTATTCGTATAAGAGTAGGGGATTGTCTCCCGGTTCAACAGCCTTTCCCAATCTGGAGGCATTAATACTAACTTACTACCAAATCACCGTCATGATTGTAAGCTGCACGGCTGCTATTAGCGCCTAAATACGCAGCCCGTAAAGTCCTCCACTGGTCATTATTGTGAAGGGCATTGAGACCATGTAAAATGCGCTATATAAGAACCCCGTTATATATTTATTTCCACTCCGGTATCCTATAAGAAAGGCATCCTGATTAGCTGAGCAAGTGGTATCCAGACTGGGATAATGGGTTGCGCTAAACAATAAGAAAACATTTGCAAAACAAGATTAATTTTAATGGGAAATATACGAAATATGACGTCCTCGGCCGTACATTCAAGACCGAGGGCCGCAGTTTTTTCCTATCGGGAATGTAAATAACCTTTATCTGTTTTTTAGATAAGGGAGAAAGCACAAGCCAGGTATTAAAAAAAGAACCTTGACTTATAGATCCCTGCAATCTTCCTTTTCCATGCAGGTTGGAATGTTAACGTATTATGCACCGTTCATCGCAATCACTACCTGGATAACGATCATCTATCCATATGTGGTTCTACCTCGCCTTGGCTCACAAAAACCGCTGACCAAAGTGAGCTAGGCACTGATTATCTCAAGTACTTAGTCACTTGCATCTTGTAGGACCAGGCGTAGCTCAGTTGGTTAGTGCGCGACCTTCAGAGCTTGAGGTCCACGGTTCGATCCTTAGGATCTCCACGTCTGTTTCGACTTCTCTCTAATCCGTGTAGCTGCAGCTTTAAATACTCTTAAAACAGAGCACTGATGGAGAGAGGGGGTAAAGTGCGCACCGTCAGCTCCCATTGATAGCAGTTGAATTTCGACTGAAGGAACTACCGACGTTAAATATAGGTACTTTACTTTACTTTTACAATAGTTTGTGTTTAATGTTACAGACAATTTATCTAATAAGATGGATGTATTTTTACCTTAGTCGAGCTGTGGCGACATTCTGACTATGTCAGCAGTTCAGTAGTGCTTTTGTGAGCTGGACAAACCTACTCACTTCTTAACCTCAGCATCAATAGAAGTTTGGCACCATCACGTGACGTCAGCCATGTTAGATGGGAGGAACAAAACAATCGTTTTACATAAGAAATAATTCAGTTCCCGAGAGCAAAGGGATTCTGTCATCTAACCACAGGCAGCCCAAGCTGTATTATGGGCGCCGGCACGTGATGGTGCAAAACCTCTATACATATTCACAAACATTAAAATATTATCACACTAATCCAATATTTATGAAAAAGAAAGTATGTATTTTAGGACTCCCTAACTTGGGAGCAAGGCTCTCTTGACCAGGCCTTCTCGGTCGTAGTTTTCTAGAAGTACTGGATCGAGAGAGCTTTTTAGAACTTAACCAAATTTTAGTTTTTTTTTTCTTTTTACTTTTTGTTAAAAGTAAACAATAAATAGTATTTTTTAAGAGTGAGATGTAATATTTTCATAACTATATATAGCGTGTCCAGTAAAAGAAATGTCTACTTTTACCAAATGTGTATTCCAGAGGAAGTAACTGATGTGTTAAGTCCTCAATTGTATTTATAAAATTAAACAGGAGTAAAGAAAAATAAACATATAGTATGTTGCAGTTTGCGTTGTTTGGATGTGTTTGTCGACTCAACTACAGGGAGCCCAATATTAATAATTCTAACGAATCTCCCAGTTTTCTTTCT